AAAAAAAAAAAAAAAAAAAAAAAGAATTTTTCTCCCCTAAAGGCCTAAGTTTTCATCTTCTTCTTTCTCAGGTTTCTGGACAAGTCTCTTACAGTCAAGGAGTCTTGAGAAGAAAGAAGGTAATCGATACAATGCTAGAAAGGTAGTTTTACAAAACCACTTCCTTTGAAAGACCAGCACGATGACGTCTAACAGCTGACAGTGGCACCACTGTCATGTGTGGGTCCCACGGAGGAGGCCGAGACGTAGTGTCGGCTGGATCCTCCCAGTCTGGCTGTACATTGAAAGACAGCTTTCCAATATGGAAGGCTGTTACGTGAAAAGACATTGTGGGCTCTATGCTCTCTACTAAAAGTCAAATGCAAACTGACTATAAATCAGTTAAAATAACCAATCAGGCATATTTTTAAAAATCAGTTAAGAATCAAAATCCAGTTGAACACCGACTGCATCAGTAGAAGCCTGGTGTGGTATCCCCAGAGTAAAAGAGGTCCTGAGATTCTGTCAACTTCAGATGAGCGTTCAAACATTAGACAATCTCCGTAACACCTCGTCTTGCAACTGATGAGAAACATTCGTGAGGTTTCGGGGCATTTCTTAGTGCAGCAGAAAAAGCATTTTCAGAAAAAGCGTCAGCTCATTAAGACAGTATCTCAATTTCTCCCAGCTGTGAAATCTAGGTTTACAGTCAGAATAAACCCATTTGCATGCACCGTGGTTCCCCGGAGCCTCCCTGTTCACTCCAAGCACCCTGTGGCGCGACTACTCACTCCTCAGCCACCACATCCTTTTACTTTTGCAGCCCTGACTATGTCAGTTCAGGGTATACACAGACAGGTGGTGAGACTGTCTACTCAGAAGCCTGCCAACTCGGGTCCCCAGGCGCACACCCTGCAGAGAGGCAAGGCTAGCGAGTGAACAGAAGACAATGGCGACGCAGTGCCTGAATACCGACCTCTTCGGGTACAAGCGGTTCGATCATGGGCGCGTCCTCCTGCCTGGCGGCTAGTCTCACTGGGGAGGTGGAGAGCCTCTTCTCCCATTCGTTTGTGATGGCAGTGTCTGTGGAGGTTTCTAAAAAGGTTCTTTTCAGCTCACTAATATTGGTTTGATGTTTCATCAGGTCATCTTGAGTTTTATCTAGCTCCTATATTCAGAACATAGAGAATCCAACAGTCAACGTTTTACATTTGCCTTCCTATCTGCGTGTGTGTGTGTGTGTGTGTGTTTTAAGTAACGTCAATCTCATTAGTAGTCAAAATAAAAGAATTCTGATCAGGGCTCATGACACTACCACAAGCACTTTGGTGAAAATGTGATATTTCTAAGGAAAAGAGAAGAAAAAAAAAATCCAGTTCACGCAAGCATAAAAATCAAAAGCGTTTTTGAAAGGCAAACCGTAGAGTGTAATTCACATGTAACCAGAAAAAATTAAAATGAATACACACAGAAAAAGGGATCTATATCTAGGAGAGAGGAAGGAATCAGAGTAGGCTGAGAAGGTATCCCCACTTATTCACAGGTGAGAGCACACAGTTCATGCATCATTGTATGAGCCCACGGGTATGCCACTAAAAGAAATGTCAACACGCACAAACATGCACTGGTATATACCAATACCAACCTCTAACATAAGATTACTATGTTTGACATACACATTTTCACCCTTTATTCGCTTAATCAGACTATTCTGAAAAAAGTGGAGAAGAAAGGGAAAAGTAAGGGACACGGTAGTCACGGGAACCAATGCCGTCCTCCACATTGCACCGACAACACGGTAACCGGCTACGGAGCATGCTGGAAGACTGGAACACCGTAGACAGACAATGACTTATCACACACTGATTTTTGCTTTTGTTTTCTTTTTAATTTTCTACCTGTGCCTTGAGCTCTGCATCTTCCTCCTGGTCCGACTGCCAGCATCAAGAAAGAGTGGGAAATAAAGTCTTACCATGTAATTGACTCTAGGATTGCAGAACTATGGTCTATATCAACTTGCTAGAAGGGGGCACTAGTTTGTTCTTGTATACGGAGAGTTATTTCTTACATGCAAGCCACGACGTTCTCACATGTAATGGAAGACAGGAGCAAAAGATTCCTTGCCTACTGGGTCTTTGACACTTTAACCCGGAGACTTTTAAGGGAGATCAGCACACACACATAAGTGGGAGGTTGACAGCTAGGGCCTGCCCTGTTACCCTTAATGAACACTAGGAAATGGTTCAGGAAGTGTGGGGAGCCACACTACAACTAAAATTCACAAGAATGGTTATGATCACCCAGTAATGAGAGCTCCCTGGGAATGTATGAATCTTTATAATCCCATGGGGTTAGCTATTATTTTCCCCAACTTGTAGGCCAGAGAACAGAAGCACAAAGACTTTAACACAGAGGTCCCCACACTTAAGAGCTTCTTGGAACCCTAAAAAAAATAAATAAAAAAGAAATAAAAAATTTTTAATTAAAAAAATAAAAAATGATACTAAAAAATAAAACACAATAAGAAAGAATTTCTTGGAACCTTGAATTTCTTAAACCCATGTACTTAAAAAACACATTTGGGAAGAGAGAAGACTGATACGGTGTAAGTCAACAAGTTAAAAAAAAAAAAAAATCACCTACCATCAACATTACCAGCATTTAAAATGTTCCTAAAGGGGCGCCTGGGTGGCGCAGTCGGTTAAGCGTCCGACTTCAGCCAGGTCACGATCTCGCGGTCCGTGAGTTCGAGCCCCGCGTCGGGCTCTGGGCTGATGGCTCAGAGCCTGGAGCCTGTTTCTGATTCTGTGTCTCCCTCTCTCTCTGCCCCTCCCCCGTTCATGCTCTGTCTCTCTCTGTCCCAAAAAAATAAGTAAACGTTTAAAAAAAAATTTTTAAAAAAAAAAAATAAAATGTTCCTAAAAAATACAACCTTTGTCTAAAAGCTACTTCATTATCCTTATATTTCTCATCTCAAGGACCTGCTTAATCCTCAGACTGGTGTCTGAGTGCCGGCAACTAGGCCTCACCACAAGGGCAGGCAGTAGTAAGCCTGCGTCTCTCCCCGGGCGGGGGCGGGGGGGGGGGGGGGGGGGGGGCACCTGACCCAGGGCCTGGGCTCTGTGCTACGGGAGTTGTCCACAGTGTAATTACAGGTGAGAAGAGGGAGACCCCTGCCACAAATCAGTCCATCATGGTCTCCATCTCCTTAGCTCCTAATGGGGCAAGACTGCCTGCCTGGCAGTTTTGTTTCTAAGGAAATAAAACTGCCTGCTCTACTGTTGTCCTGGCTCCGGAGAGGAGGGAGGGGAAAGTGTTTAAAAAGCGCGAGAGTGCACAGGTAACCAACACGGTGCTGGTAACACACTAATTCTTGAGGGTATCCTGCATTCACAGATCTTTATCTTTACGCTTCACAGTCACCTATGGCGCAGGCAAGGGTTTGCATGCTTGAAATATTTATTACCTAACAACCTACAAAACTGCTATAAAAGAGTATTATCAAAATATTTTCCATTTAGGGCACACATTAAGATTACAGTGAAGTTTACTGAATGTATTAACACATAACTAATAATTCTTATAAAATCAAGATGTAATTTTGCTATATTTAGCACCGAAAATTATTAACTTGTAATAAATTTATACATGATTGCTTAAAAGAATCTGGATAGTAGTTTTACAGTATTATTTAAAAAAAATTTTTTTTTTTTTTAAGCAGGTTCTATGACTAAGCAGGGCTCGAACTCATGACCTCAAGATCAAGAGTCACATGCTTTACCAGCTAGGTGCCCCTACAATATGGCGATGATGATGATTTTTTTTTCAATGCCAGTGCTGTTTTTTTAACTTAAAAAATTATGATTTCCAAACTTTGAATTGAACTCTGGCATTTCCCAAAGATGCAATTTAACAAAACTCCTTTTTAAAAAGTTTTTCTGAAGATATTTTCAATTAAGTACTATACAGATGCTATTCACATTTTTAGTTCCTGAATATCTAAGTAGAAAAGACCGTTCTACCTGGATAATGGGAAAAAAAACTAAAAAAAAAACAAAAAAAACAAACAAAAAAAACAGAACAGAGTGAACATATCACAAAGTAAAAAAAAAAAAAATCTGCTAGCACTTTAGGAATGTCTTGGCTTCCATTACCATAGATACTGTTTTTATGGAAATTTTCATTACTGGTAGAGAAAATTTAAAAAACACAAGTGCACATATTAAATGTATCCTAAAGAATTTATAATGGATAAATGATAGCACAGTATCTTCCTGTCACTGTTCGATGTGATCACTTTTTTTTTTAAATCAAATACAAACAGTAATTTGCCAATTTTTTCTTTGAGAATCCATTTCTTTTAAGGGACCTAGGTTGTATCCATCCAATCTACAAAACTGCGTATTTTAATAATTATTATTTGACCATCTGGGATTTAAGGGATTTCAAAAAATAGGTCTGTATCTAGTAAATAAGCTAATTAATTGTGAACTCTCCTCCTCCCTCATCATGGCTATCACACATAAACAGCCTCTCATTGGGGACAGGGGAATGTATATATATATATTTTTAAGTATTATTGGTTTGTCCAAGGGTTCTCAAAATGTGATTCTAAAATGGGCAGAGTCAACATCCCCGGGGAACTTGTCTGAAATGCAAATTCTCGAGTCCCACCCTAGACCTTCTCCTTGACTGAGAAATGTGAAGATGGGGCCCTGCAGAGGACTATCCCGATGCAGGCCAGAGTCTGAGTACCACTGGTCTAGGCAGTAGAGTATATTTAACTCCTACTTTCCAAGTTAGAACTTAGCTCCACTCAAAAAGCTAATATGCCGAGTTCCCGAATGCAGAGACCCCTTCACAAGGCACTTTCGTTAGGCGACTACCAGACACCTGCAGTGATGATACCAACCTCAGTGGCGGTGGTTTCCCCATCGGCCGCGGTGTCCGTGCGCTCACTGTCGGTCTATTGATCACAGAAGTGACCAGGGTCCGGGAGGAAGGCAGGAATAGAAAACAAACCCGTTTGGTCAAATAAGGTATGGCACAGGTCAAACAGTTCACTCTCTTTCTACGTGATCAGTATCCTACTACCTTCCCACAAGGATGCAGGTTCAAGCAAAAGCAAAAGAAAGGCCAGAGCTAGGTTTTCTCAGCAGAGCCACTCAGAGGAAGACCAGAGGCGCACAGCCTGCGGGAGCCGCAGGCACTGCATTAGCCGAGCTGACTTGTCTGGTTTCATGTCTCAGGAAAACCAAATTGTCATTCTTTCCCCCCCCTTTCAACTAAACCCCTGAGAAAGATCTCTTAAAAATGTTTAATGCAAATAAAATTGACGTTTATATATATTTTTCTATTCTTGTAATGGGTCACATTTCAATGATAAATTACGATGTAAATTTAAATAAAAAGCTACTATAACAGTCACTGGACTTTCAGCCCCTCATTTATATCATGTTGATAATTTACACCCACTTATGGCCATCAGGCTGTCTGCATTACCTATTAATTATAAAAAGCACATGCCAGTGACTCACAGGCATATGTTTTATATGTGAAAAATAGAACTCAATTTTCAAGTAGCAGGGTTCGCTTTTTTTTTATAGACTAAATGTGGTGTTTATTTTGCCCCACCCTCCAATATAAAGATGTGTATCGAGATATGTAAACATCTCTTTCCAAAACAACCATTCAAATGAAGCAAATTATAATAATTAAAAAAAAACAGAGAAAGAGAGACATCTACTTGTAAACAAATAAAACAAAGCACAGCATTTGACAGAGCCTAAGTTTTCAAGGGAGAATGAGAATAGCAATTTCAGGATCGGTTTTGAAGCTGCTTCATAGAGGTTTATGATCGAAAACAAACGATTTTCTCTGGAGTATAGGAGAACCATCGCCATTGAAAATGGGACGCCTAAATGCCATAATACAATATTAGCTGACCTTCCCTCCACGAATGTCAACTGATCATTAATAAAATTCCATGCAGCAAAGATGAACGATTAATATTTTGAAAACAAAAATCAAAACTGGGGGCTGTACACCTGTGAACCTGCCTCTTCAAGTAATCTTGCGATCCTGACAATAAGGACTGGCAAGAAAGACGACAGGGGCAGTGCGATGTTCACACCAACCTGACTCTGGCTAGGCTGCCTTCTTGGCACTATCCCAAGCTTTCGTTGTATATATTCCTAAAAGAAAATACGTTAAAAATTCATGTTTGGCATGTGCGCCCGAGGCGGCCAGCTACCATGACTTCAGTGGAACACAGTTTCCAGGAGTTTGGTAAAGAATGTGTGCAGACACGTTTTCATGGCCTGGCTGCCTTGGCAACACCTGGTGCGGGGGGGGGGGGGGGGGGGGGGGGGGAACTATTGGTCTTCTCTTAAGGGTAATCACTGCTATGGCAGTAGCATGGCATCACCAACTGCCAGCCTAGGGAAAGGCCGATTTGACTTAGGGGGAGAGACACGGGTTATTGTACAAGTGCACAGAGTAGCTCAAAGAAACCTTAGGCTTTCAAGGACAAATAAGCATGACCTGTGCTTCCTGCGCTGTCCAGTTTTGTGAAACGCTTCCAAAGGGCTTGAAAGTATTTCTCCTCCTACATACTTTCCCTCGTGGCTTTAAAATTTACTAAAGCATCTTGGCTTTAGACTACAGTCATGGTCAAGAGCAGGGGCTCTGATGTCAGACTGACATAGGCTCAAATCCTTGCCATTTAAATTTGTGACACACTGGGCATGTTTCACATTTTAATCCCAATTTCCTTCCGGTAAAATGGAGAAAGTAACAGCCCTAACTGTATCAGGTAATGGAGAGTAAGTGCCTTATAGAATGTCTGACATACACAGACGTAAAAGTGCCTATGCTAATTGTAATGATATTAATATAATGTTAGTTACATTATAATACTACATAATTATTACTACCATTTTTTCTAGCTATACCAAAAAAAAAAAAATAGCTTAGGCCATATCTAAAGTCCCTTAAATTCCTACTGAGCATGTAATCGGTTATTGAACAAATACAGTGCATGATCAATAAATGGTCCATAAAAGAAGGCTGAATAAAGCAGCTTTTATAGCAACCGTTCTTTATATGACTGAACAAAACTATGAAATGTATAACATATTGCAAACTATCATATAATTCTGTTTACATAACTTAAAATGTTAAAAATCAGCTGATCTATTAATTTTTCCTAATTTGAATCTTTTTTATATTATGAAAAAAATTCCTCACAAATTAACACATAATTACAATCTACAGTATAGTGAGCTAAATTCAGCTCATGTTTCTTGACCAATGATTAAATATTCTGTTCCCTTTCTTCTGTGACCATTCTTGAAGGTACAAAAGAAAAAAATGATTGGTCAACAAGCGTTATAGTTGAAATGATTATGCCTTTCTCCACTGGGTTTCACTTTTGAGAAAGGCTGGAACTAATTAAGCCACACTGCAAGACGTGAAAACTTGAAGCAGGGATGATAAAATGTTTGAAAAGAATTATAGTCATTAGTGATTTTGCAAAATGAACGTGACATAGCTGAAGCGTATGCTACATGAAATCATCGTTTAGTTGCCAAAGTGCTTGAGGCCTAGCGACTAAAACAGGCCATGTAAACAAAATTTTTTTTCTTCTTCTTCTTAAATGGAATGACCTACATAGGAGCCCTCCGGCTCAGCCCGACCCGGAGGGCACAGCTCTTAACACTTAGGGTTAAGAGACGACATTGAACAGATGGCCACACGCGAAGTCTTGTGTCAGGAGGGCTGTAATGGTTGACCCAGGCTGGAGAGGAGGGCTACAAGGACTGCACCAGCCAGAGCTGGCTCGCAGTCTCAGAGATTTGCAAGAACAGGGACAGTTATCTGCTGGAAGGCTCCAGTCACGTGGTCACTGGCTTGCGCCGGGTAACTGCTGTGATTTGTTTTGCTGATGTAATGCAGACATGCCCAAATTTAACATTAATTTTCATGCACTGATTACAACAAGATGTACACCCTGGATTAGGCACAAGATCTGTGTGGTTTGCTACGGGAAAGTTCAGTTCTTGAGAATTCAGAAAAGCACAAAATGGCCATCTTTTTTGTTTTGTGTTAGCTTGACGACTAACTCCATTGCTAAAGGAAAAATATATGTCCAGGTTGGAATCCAGCTAATACTAACAGTCTTTGGAGATAATCTTGCATTCTCAATGTTGTCTGTTCTAGTCCTCCATTATTTGATAATATTGCCACTATGAGAAATAGCGATATTGAAAGCTAGGATTCATTCTCTTGAAATATTTTCCATGCATAAAAATTTAATTCTGTATTAAATAGATTTGGGGCCATATGACCTAAGAACCTTGAAAATGGTTGAAAAGGCCAAACTTTTATTTAAACATCTATGAGGCCATTTCCATTTTTTCTCTTCTGCTGCTAAGAAATGGTCATAATATCACTAAATATAGATACACACCTCGCAATTCTATATACTCACAGGTGTACCTCAAATTATGATTTCTAGCTGAGCTGAAAACTGAACAGATTTTTTTTTTTTTAGTGTTGCTTTGACTTTGTGACTTTTTTTTTTTTTTTTTTTTTTTTTTTTTTTTTTTTTAATGCTGGGAGTGCTGGGCTTGTCTCCTGCCACAAAAAGGCTTGCTTTGTGAGAACAGAAGAGCTGGAGGGGCCTAGGGAAGGTGTGGGCAGGGGGGTGGGTGGCAGCCAGGCCCTCTGTTGGCAACTTCTGTTCTTTTCCCCTGCGCTCTGTTTGAAGGGAACTGCTGGGCTGTTCATACAGCTGTGGAGTCGTGTGACAGGAGAGTAGTTAAGAGGCAAAGCTAACGGCTGCCATGTCAACTCACCCACTGGCTCAGGTAAGGGACAGGAGACAGACAGGCGGCATGTTTTCTCAGACAGAGGCTGCGGGCCCCGTCCTTTCTCCACTGAGCACACGCCGGGCTGAGAGCCACAGGGGCCTATCCAGCCTCCCTGACCTTCCCGGGCTGTCTGGTGTGTGTGGATCTTCTGGCCTCTGCTGGGGTTGAAAGAATCGCTGCTACCCAATCTATCCATTGGCACTGTTAGTGCTGATGAAGTTACAGCCCATTTTTACGGCATGCGGACATCTTAAAGGAATCTCTTCCTAAGTGTGAAAACCGCAGTTACTTCCGGCCCTCTTTGCGTTCCTACCGGCCACGGAGGTCGTGTGGGCCTTTGAAGCTACCCAAGCATTTTCTGTGGCCCAACACACCCTTGGGGTCTGGCTCACCTCCGTGAGTCACAGTGATAGCCTGGCAATGACAACAGAAGGGCAGAGTGGGGACACTTCAGAATCCCCAGGGAGGAGAGGCACTGCCAGTTTGGGGAAGCCACCCACCCAGACGAGGATGGCACACCTCCGACGGGGTTCGCTGCCACCTCACCTTGAGTATCACGTACCTCCTGGTATCACCACTATGTGTGATTATCCCAGGACGCATTCTGGTAACGCTCCGTAAACCTGGGTTAAACTTATCTCTCGGTCTCCTGGGTCGTTTCCTTTACGACACGAGAACTGACCAGAACTTGAACCTAACCCTGATTTTTTAACATAGCTGACAGGTTATTTGAAACGGACGTCTGAGTCCTTCAGCATCCGGAGAAGTCAGCGGGTAGCGGAACGAATCCGGGCTGGGTGCAGGCTGCTCCATCCACATGGCGTTGTGCCTAACCCTGGGGCCGGGTCGCACGCCCCGACACACAAAAACCTCTCACGTGTCGGCACAGACAATAAATGAGGCTCTGAAAGTAGGGCCGCTAGTGCGGTAGGCGCCTAACACTGTTTCGGCCCGAAGCCCCGACCACGACAGGGAAGTGTGCTCTGTGCCGAGGTACACACCTCTTCCTCTGAACTGTCACTCGGGTCATTGTCTAGTGAGGCACTCAAGGAGGCCGCCTTGGGCTCCAGGTAGCAGAGGCACATAGCCAGAGGGAAGGAGAGAGTGAGGGCATATGGCACTGAGAAGGAGGCGGAGAGCAGAAAGAAAAAGATGAAGAGGAAACAGGGCACAAGGGAGGGTGAGCGAATCGGGAGGTAATGCTGCAGGCTCTGGGGGAGGAGGTTGGTTTCCGACAGGTTGGGGAAAGAGAGGTACCCATCGTCATCTAGAAGAGAAGGGAACGACTCTGGGAGCTGCAAGGAGAAGGAAAACAGGGTGGTCCCTTTGCCGGTTTGCTGTTTGTAGCTAAAAGCCACATCTTGGTCCCCTAAGGACGGCCTCCCTTTGTGGTCAGAGTCCAGGGCGGGCTCTCCGCGCACGGGCACGGCGCCTTGGGCCGGCTCGACACCCGGGGGTTGGCGGTCATTCTCCTTACACCTCCTACGGAGCTCTGGGGGGAGTGCAGGGGGACGATGGGCTGATGGGGGGGACGGAAGGCATGAGTCAGTGCCAAGCCCAGGTGACTGATGTGAAAGAGACAGAGAGAGACAGAAAGCAGCAAACAGAGGTGCAAAAGGACAAAAAGAAAACTGCAATTAGTTACTTTTCTTATGGGTATCAATATAAAATTGTAAAACAAGAATTTTAGCACTATGGTTGTTCATGTATTTAAAGTATTCAAGCCACATGCCAAAGATACCACGAATGGCTACTGTTCCCCCATCAGACTGTCGATTACAGGCTGCGTTTTTTTTTTTTTTTTTTAAGTCAGCACCGAAGATATTGGTGGGTAATCTCAAAGTCTACATGTTTCACACCATCCACAAAGTCTGTTTAGACCAACAATTCTAGAAAGCTTTAGGGTTTTGAAAGCAAACATAACTCTCAGATAACTTAAAATCAAGACTTTCAATAACGTCTCCTGATCTCCAGCTAATAGATCTGTTACTAAAAGTTTGGTTGAATTAAGAAATGAAAATGAATCCAAGATTTGATGATTTAAAGAAAAAAATCTTTAGCGTTACCTTTCCTCACTGAGTCAATTGCATCCCAAACAGGTGGGTTTCCAAATCAAGAAGTTTCTGGCCCCACTCCCATCTGATCAGTAGTGCCACTCAGGGAGCTCGACAATTAGCATTTTAAGGAGCTCATGCTCCATGCAGAATTGAGGTTCCTTTGAAAACTTCTATTTGGGCTCCTTTCTCCAGGATGTAAACAGAACTTAAAACTCAAAGGAGGCTTCAATAAGGTAACTAGCAAAAACAATGTGTTTTCATGTGATGTGGCCCATCAGCCTTATCCCTTTGTATTATTTGTGGTCCATAAATAACAGAAAGGTACAATGTCCCAGCCTTCAGGTTGTTCTTAAGCAAGTGATCACTAGATGTAACTCCCCTGGTTTGAGTCCTTAACAGAATGAATGATAAAGGCAGGCATCCCCACAAAAGTGTCCCCGGGGAGTTCAGGCTTCTGCAGGGCAAAGAGAGGCCCTTTCCACTCTCTTTGGCCCCAGCAGCCTCTAGGACCACAGCCGGCTTCCTCTGCAGGTGGTGGAGGGCTGCTGAGCCAGGTGGGGGTGGGTGTGCGTGGAGGGAAGCCAGCAAGCTCCACACAGGACCTGGCACAGCTCAGAAGCTGCTGGGCCCCAGGAGTTCAATTCAAGGTCACACAGAGCCTGAAGCTAGACTTCCACTGCTCTCTCTGACACTCTGTGTGAGTGTGCACGTGTGTGTGCATGTACACGTGTGTTTTGCCTAGAGACTTGAGAGCATGGAAATTAGTCGCCCTGGCTTGTAACTCCCAATCCTGACTTGGTAAATAAAAAGAGGGTAAGAACGTGCACAAATAAAATCGTATCACGGATCTATTAGAAGCGTCTCCTTTTAGGTATTAGACAAGTAGGTCTTTTCTCAAAACTCACATCTGACGTGAGGCGCTGTGTTTGAAATAAACATGACCCTGCACATATCTCATTCAAGCGAGAACAATGTATAAAAGATACAAGCTGACTTCTGCCTGCAGACCATTGTTCCCCTGCTGGCGGACAGCTGCCCAGGCACCTGGGGTGATCATTAGCCTGGGAAACATCCCTCCTCTCAAAGCAATCGAGGGGACCAGTCTTTTAAGAACTATTTTCAGTAATATACTTTCATTTTGGTTAAAAAAATGAGTTCCCTCTTTGTTACTTTTTGAGGAGGGAGAAGAATAAAACGAAGGTTTAATTTTCCATGCCACTTATTTAGGTGGTTTTTCAAGGACAGCTTTGCACTGTGGAAAATGAAGACTGCCATCTGCCTACCTAAGCACAAGGTTGGGGCCACTGCCTTTCTGAAGGCATTTGGGTCAAAGTGCTGGCTTCTCAGAGATTCAGACTAGGAGAGTCACAATTTTTGGTCTTTTTGTTTCCCCTTAGCATAAATGGCAGGAGGGAGGATAGTTCCGTGCTATATTTTATATAAACAAATTGGTGGTCTTTTCAAATTCGATAAAGAGACATGGCCTGGGTCTATTTTGGGAGCAAATTAAAAGTCATTTCCTTTAATGTGCCACTTAATCACAGTTATACATCCACGAGAATTGTCGGCTGCTGTGGGTGATTTCGGGAAATCATGGAAATCATTTGCTTTTCAGGCATACTACCTTTTTCTCACGTCCTATTTACAAGCTGCCTTGACTTAATTGGAGAGTAAGAGCGTAGAAACAAAACTCAGAACAAAGCATGCCTGTTTTAACAGCAAGAGTGATCCAATATCCTTGCCGTCATCTCCTATCCTGTTTTTATCTTTGTGTTTGGTAAATAAATGATCTTACCTTGAAAAAAATGGATAGGGTTTCACGTGGAATATTCTGACATAACTACAATATGTTGTGGATCTACCCATCCCTGTGTAACTCTTGTCCAAAGAAGCATTTTTCTTTAGAGACCCAGGTGAGTCCCAGCGACAGAAATCTATATTTGAAGACCCCCAGTTCAAAAGAACACTTTTGAGTCACATCTGGGCAAGTTGTAGCACACCTGTGAGTTGCACAACATTTTTATTCTTGTGAGTTGCACAACATTTTTATTCTATTTCTTTTCACTCTGTACATTCCAGGAGCCACTCTGTTTTACCATCATCATTACCCACAAGCCTCCCAATATAGTTTCTTTTTCTTCTACTTTTAGAGAGCTGCTCTGCTACCTACAGGATCCTGAACCAGAAGCAGATTGTCTACAGGTTTCCTGACTTTTATTTTTCTGAAAAGTTGCTTTATAATGCCAGAGGACCAAAAATAAACATACCGTAAGAAATACTGGGTGAAATGAAGTTTAGAAATCTGATGAATAGAACACCTTGGAGAAACTGCTGCCAAATTCACCTTCCATCTTCCCTTGCAAAGTTCTGCCTTAATAGCTCTTTTCAAAACATGTCTGCTCGCTGCTCTGATGATTAGATTATGGTCACAAGGTAAGAGGGGAAATAGTGTATAAATACAGAGGCTACGGTCACTCAGTAACTTGCGCTCAGAAGAATGGCAATGTGATTACTGTATATCTAGAAGAATATACAGTACTTGGGTAGGAGAATGGGGCCAGAAACAAAGAAAATAATTTTAGTGACAGTTCTGAAACGTGAGCCCAAACAGAAAAGTGTCATATGGCCCTAAATGTATTTTTAAGATACACGGACAGGACGGCTGTTGAAAGTCTTACATAGCATATCAGTTCAAATAAAAATTTTCAAAACGTTAAGAAGGAAATCTTCCAGAAGACAAATGTCGACAGAGGAAACCATAATTTAGAAACTGACCCTATGAACGTGACTACTGCTGGAATTGGAACTACCCTAAGTCTGACTGATTAACACATTCCTGGTTTCTAGCCTCAGAATTATTAAGTAGCTTGTGAAAGTCTAAGCAAGCTCTCGGAGGGAGCTTGGGAGATGTACCTTTCCCTCGTGCCGTACTGCGGCCACTGGCGTGGCTTCCTCTGCCTTCTTCCGTCTCTCCTCTTCCTCGTCCCGTTCCTCCTCGGCCTTTTTCTCCGGAGTCACAGTGGTGATCAAGTTGGTCTGAGAGATGCCCTTTGTTGTGGCGTACTGGCCAGTACCAACCTCTGCAGCAGACACAGAATCCTTCATGTATATTTCATGGTTTTCATTCACTGACGCTAAAAGCAAATACAACCGAAGAAAAAAAGTCTGAAATAGTTAAGTCAGAAGGCTGAAGAGCACCACCGATTGCCCCGTTATGGCGAAAAGTACCCCTCCCCACGTCTGTCTGAAAACTCCAGTCAACGCTGCGGGCACCCGCACCTAAGCGCTCTCGGAGACACAGCTTTGTGTGTCTTCTATACCAGTGTTTTAAAATGACTTAAACGCTCATGTCGCGAAGCCACCAGAGTGAGTCTCAGGCTCTGCGGTGAGGACAAGCGCGAGCGTGGCGGCAGCGGAGGGGCAAGAGGCTGGGCTGCTGCGAGCCTGTTACCCCACAGAGTAACTGGCTGGCTCCAGCACCAGGAGCCGGTGGTGAGTCCCACAGCTAAGAGCGGTATCTGCAGCGGACAACTCCTCTCATACACTTGACTCTGAACGCATCTTGGGAAGTGCCATTCAACAAGGAGCACCGAATTGCGTTCTTTAATTAGTCGTTAGCAATGGTTACAAGAGTCCATCACTCCTACTGTATCAAAAGTCCCATGGCTGATAATGAAAATTAACTATCTTCGTGGGATTATAAAATTTGGAGAGATTATAGAATCTGGACGGCAACTCTGTTCAGCTGGAGTGCAGAAACGTTTTAATTTCTACCGCACGTTAAAAAGATTACCGTGATATGCATACACTCCTTCATCTCGGCTATTTTGGGAAGACAAGACAAATGTTGCTAATGAAATCCATGCAGATGTAAGACATGCAAACATAAAAGGTAGAAGACACAGCCTTTCAGCCCTGCTGAAATGTCTTAGTGAAAGATGCTTAATTCAGTGACATTTTTAAAGTCTGGTACTCATTAGTTTAGGTTGTAGGTGTATGTAACTTATTTAAACTTACAAATGATTCTTTTCAATACACAGTAGCTGATCATGGGAAAAATGTAACCAGCTTCATAGTTTAGGAAGTTTAAAATGTAAACGTAAGAAAATATTCTGAAATCCTTTCATCAAAGCTAAACCATTTCGTTAAGGTATCTTCACTAAGATATTTTATATTTCCTCATACTGATGAGAGAAAGCTCATATGAGATGCAATTTCCCAATGGGTCAGTTAGGCTGTTGTACATAGGATGCAAACTTGCAAAAAGCCACTTGTGTTCCAACATGCAGCCACGGCACCCCACTCAACACCACAGGAAACATACGGGAATTGGCAGGACCCCAAAGAGTGAGAGACAACACATACTAACATCACTTTCAGGCAGGGAGGAAGAGACAGTATGCTATTAGTACATTTGTTTCACAATTGTCTTTTGCTTGTCAACAATCATTATCACACAAAAGGCCATGAGGAAAACCACGTACACAACAAATGTGTTCCCTTGGGTACACATCACTGAACAAAGTGGATGAGAGCCTGGGAAAAAAGGTGTGATTCTACGAAAGTTCCTTCGACACTGACTTATGGAATACACAAAGAGTTTACAGAGATTCTCTAAAGGAGAAAGGATAAATGGAACAAAGCAGTAAGAAAAGCTTCAGTGTTAACGTGAATATTTCAGCATCTGAGTTCAACCCGAAATGGCCCCAATAAACGCTTTATTCCCAAGGTTTAGCTCCACGTTAGAGATTTGAAAAACAGGCAACTATTAGAAAATACAGAATGGTTAATTAACGTCATAGGCCAGCTCACAAAAGCCTATAAGAATAATCATGAATGTAATTATTATCACACCTGAAAGAACGCTTTTGCACGTCTCATTCACTCTTTCTTTGCAAACAGCCTTACCCCCATTTTAGAGATGGTGACAAAAACTGAGACCTGGCAAGTTTAAATCACTTGCCAGGTGCTACTCGGATGGACTTCAGTCTGGGTTTATCTACCAGGTGAGTGCTTTTCTTCTTCACCAGTAACATACATAATATAGCACAACTGACACAATTTTGACTTCCTCTACCAACTGTTTATAAAGTATTCCATTAGCAAAATACAATCCTCTAAATCGGAGGATTCAGGGAGTATGCCACCCAATCAGCCACATTGGGCTACAGGGAAAGGGAAGAGAGAGCCGGGACTGTGGTGAGCAGTGGCAAAAATGTAAGGAGGAAGGGGAGCCCAGGCACTTGTAACTTCGTTATTTTTACTTGTTTTTACTCTATTTTTACTATTTTAATTTTATGTTTTTGCTTATTATTAAAGTTGTACACACATGCTAGAAACTTACTCTTTTTATATACACAGATACGTTTTCTATAAAACCACTAATCTCCAGGTGGAATTAGAAGCAGAGACTTGGCCATGCGTCACTTTCTTTTTTTAATTTTTTTTAATCTTTACTTATTTTTGAGAGAGAGAGAGAGAGAGATAGAGAGAGAGAGAGAGAGAGAGAGAAAGTGGGGGAGGAGCAAAGAGAGAGGGAGACAGAATGTGAAGCAGGCTCCAGGCTCTGAGCTGTCAGCACAGAGCCCCATGCGGGGCTTAAACTCGTGAACCACGAGATCATGACCTGAGTTGAAGTCAGAGGCTTACCCAACAGAGCCACCCAGGCACCCCAGGCATGAATCACTTTCTAAGTATTATTCCAGCTGCCGTGTGTTGTTGAAGGAAGCACATTTGTGCGAAACTATGGACGGCAACACAAAACTGTCACACAAGACAAAAACCTGCTAAAAACTCACTACTATGTCATTCCTTAGAAATGTTATTTACGTGATCCTCTCCCTGTTTAACTTCCGCATTTGACTTAACGGTGGAGAACATTTACATGGCAATGCTCCCCCAGTCCATCTGGTGCAGTAATTAATATTAACAGGAGGATTTAACTTGCAGCCTCTGGCTCTACCATTTAAATGTCATCCTTTCTATCAGCTATCATGCACTGACTGGAAACAGTCACAATTTATCCCTGAAAATTTTGCAGAAACAGAGATAAATTTAACTTATGGTCTTCCTTCTGAAACAAACTGACTGAAACAAACCCGGTAATCATTTAAGATCTGCCAATAAGAGAACCAAGTTACTTACAGAGTACGTGACAACTGTATTTAGAATGAGATAATCTTTCTCCAAATTTGGGGTGCTGGCTGATGAAAGCTACGCTCTTCATTCCCTAAGCATCATTCTTTTATGGAGTAATTTTATATACATCTACCAATAACAGACCTTACACTCACCAAGGCACCTTTTTTTTTTTTTTTTTTGTCCCCGAGGGTGGGGGTTACAACTTGTCACTGGGCCACGGACCGAGTGCTTTTTATTTCACTCTCTTCTCAAGAGGACCTATGTTCACTGAAAGCTTGGGATGGTTTCATACTATTTCTGGGTGGCCATTCGTGATTATTATTACTAAAGGTTAGGAAGTGATGCCTACCTCCATCCAAGCTGCGAGACATGGTGTAGCGTTTGCTGGATGAGCGTTCGAAGTAAGGGGCAGGACGATCTATCAACGCACTGGCTCTTCTTGTTTGGGCTTGCGTCCTGCCACTGTAACGAAACTTGGAGCCCAAGGTAAGGAATTTCTTTGGAGGTGCTTCTGGTAACAACAGTCTAAAGATAGTAAAGAAAAAATGCGAGAGACACTGTTGAGTCAAACATTAAGAATGCGATCTCAACTTTTTCAGTCAAAGGTAAAGTGCTTTGTGCGTTTAACATATAACATGTTAAATGAACATGGTTTAAAAATTTTTTAAGTATTTATTTTTGAGAGACAGGGAGAGACAGACAGACAGACGGACAGACAAAGCACGAATGGGGAGGGGCAGAGAGGAAGACACAGAATCCGAAGCAGGCTCCAGGCTCTGAGCGGTCAGCACAGAGCCCGATGTGGGGCTCGAACCCACTAGCCGTGAGATCATGACCTGAGCCGGAGTCAGGTGCTTAACTGACGGAGCCACCCAGGCGCCCCAAATGTGATTTTATAGGAAAAAAAATCAATTCCCACAGTACATGTCAACCAGGGAGTTGTAGAGAGGCTATAAATACAATGGGAGTTGGCCTGGAATCCGTGAACTTTAACATCTCATGCAACTGAAGAGTTTATGGTTCTATAAACCCAAAGAACAATTAAATAGGTGATCTTGGTGAAGAAGACGGTGATAAAATTTGCTATTTCATAGAAACAAATCTGATAGTCTGAGTAAACAAAGGAGCCCAGTGTATTAAGAAATGACTGAAATGTTAAGGAAGGGATTGAATCCTTGAAGTGGGCATCTTATAAAAATAATGAAAGGACACTAAAGGTAATAAAGAAAGGGGAAGCAGGGCAGATAAAGATTTCTTGTCAAGAAACCTGGTGACAGTGAACTTGAAGGAATAGAAAGGATATTCTTCCACATTCTTCCCCACAAACTTTTTCAGTAGAAGTGATTCCAATTGTTCTAATTCTTCCTGAGGAAGAAATGAAATCATCTTGACCTACCTGAAAAATGTGTGATGTTCAACACATACTTTCCATAAACGTTTGGCAGCTCGATGGTTTGGCAGCTTAAACCCGATGGTGCTTTCAAATTGTTCAAACTAAATTAAAACAAACAAACAAACAAACACATATTGAGGAGTAAAGTCAGGTTTGCAATTATAAATAAAAGAAAATCATTTACAAATCATGCCCCCCACAAGTTTTTTCCTTTACTCACAAAATCAAGCGCTATTTGCAGAATTCATGTTATACATATTATTCATTAAAAAAAAATCTTGTATTTATTCTCCTTAAAATGCTGCAGACATAGATAACCGCATTATGTGTGTGTTTTATGTCCGAGTATGGATTTTATGAAAACGGAATGCAAAAAAAGACAGCATCTGGATTTCTTCCAGAGGCCAATTTGTCCTGATCTCATTTTTAAGCCTTATTTTCATGGTGTCTCTATGACACCATGACTTCAACTGGAATATACATACAGGAATAAACACAATGTTTAGAGCCTACAGCATTTTCAGGAAGACACTTTCTCCTAGGATCCGGTCGGAATATATGCATATGTCCTAGGTATTTGATGACTTGGTATCAGATATTGCTGATTTTGTTTATGCATTCTAATCTATGGATTATTTGATATTATATATACAAACATAGGGAGAACACGATTTCCTATCTTTCAGCATGTATAGTTCAGATGATAATCTATCAGCCATTTGATTTCTCAAGGCAAAATATCCGACTTCCTAATGTATTTTAATATTATTATGGCAGATGCTCAATATTTTTTTATTTTCTGCCGACAGTATGCATCAGGCCACCAGAGGGCAATCATTTTAAACAGTAAAACCTTTCCAAAAGAGCATTAAACAACTGGACTGTTGACACAGTCAACAGAAAAAAAAGTAATTTACATAGCAAAGAACCAAGAAGAGGGGCCTTATGTGTGGCATAGGAGATATAACTATGCTTGACTTCGATTTCTTATTTGAGAGGGACGAGCTGGGGTTGGGGGTGGGGAGGCTGGGAAATACATCACAAGCTATTCCAACTACAACTGCCTTTCCCAATTTTTCACTCACTCTGGACGTTCACACGGAGGGGTAAGTTGTAAAAACCGCTATTGGCCAACAGCTGCAGCCAATCAGCAAACCAGAGCATTCTGGATCGTGACTAAACCATCCTTCAGTTATTCATCCCGCATCTAATATGCACCACACTCGTGCTCGCGGCTGCCAAGAAGCCGGGAAGGTTTTCTTTCCTGCTATATCCTCACGCTGTTTGAATGCTTCTCTCTCTCTCTGTGCTTTGTACCAATTTCTCAACCTCTTCAGAGCCTTTGTGCCATCACTCATTTTCTCCCTCACTCATTCTTCTCAGCCTATTTACATGATTGTAAAAAAGTGGCGGGGGGGGGGGCAACTTTCTTGGAGCCTGCTTCTGCCTGAAACACAACCCCATCTCGCTCCTTGACAAAGGTCAAGAAGGAGAAGCCTTGGCTACTGCACCCCTTACCTCACTGCCACCTGCAGGGTCCTCCCACCATCTTCTCGAACTCTTCAGTGTCACACCGGGCTTTGTCAAGTCGACGCACTTTTCTTAGTTCTTAGCCCACACGTCTTGTCAATAGCATCTGGCCCCGCTGGTTCATCATGTGCCCAGAATCTCGTCTCCTTGTCACTTGGGACTGTGTCCTGCCCCTTTTCTTTCTCTGGTTGCTTTTCTTCATCCCCCTACGGTCCTCTTCTGCCTACTCTTCCCTCTCAAAAAGTGATGTCACCCAGGGTTTCTGTTTGAGGGTCTCTTCTTCTCTAACTTCCTTTGTTCTCTGGGCAACTTATTTCCTGCCTGAGGCCTCCAATAGAATGGATGCAGTGGATGACTCCTTCAAACCTGTATTTCTTACTATGCAAGAATCACCCCCTGAAAATGTCTCAGAGGAATTTAATTTTTTTTTTCTGAAATTCTCTGTTTTCCCCTCTTGTCTAATAATATCATGTCCATCAACTTCACGCATGCCAAGGGAAGGCCTCTGATCATCATGGACTCCTTCCCCTCTTTAGCACCCTCCTCCACCCTGTGTCCAAGACCTACTGGTTCTGTTTCTGAAACTTCCCTCACAGTTGCTCCTTCTGTTCTATTCCCACAGCCTCTGCCCTAGTTTAGGTCTTACCACATCTCATTGCTAACCTGCAGAGTTTCATTCCAAATTATTCGTCTAGCGTATCACGTCCTCTTGAAAACCTCCCATGGCTCACTACTGTCTCCTGATGCATTTCTCCAGCGTTCCCATCTGGGCCCTCACCCCAGCCTGTTTGTTCCACATTATGTAGAATTTTCTCCTATGTGCGATACGTATCATGACGACAGAATTCTAAGTGCACGAGACTGATTCTTTGCCAAACAGAAAGTCCCTTAAGGATAGGGACCAACATCGTGCTCAACGATAAACAGGTGCTCGCTTAGTAAATGTTGGATGAACCAAACATATTATCGGTTATAAGTTTAATATGCAATTTTAGGGAATTATAAAAAACTAATTTCAGGTATTTACATGAAAAGCTTCCAGATTATTTCAGTCTTCACAGACAAGTTTGACTTTATATTTAAACAGGATTCCTTGCTTTATAGTATGATTTAAAAAAATGTTTAAAGTGAGGTACAACGGACATATAACATTATATTAGTTGTGGGTGTATAACATGATTCAGTGTTTATGTGTATTATCACCACACATAGTTACAGATCTTTTTTCTTGTGATGAGAACTTTTAAGATCTGTTTTCTTAGCAACTTTCACATACACTGTACAGCATTATAACTGTAGTCACCATGCATCACATTACATCACATATAACCTGATTTTTAAATTACATTTTCCACCAATGGACAGGCTGACTTGGAAGACAGGAGATCATTCTGTATTGTACCAGAAAAAGTTCAGAGACACGGATGAGCTGCCAACTTAGAACTCTGCCTGCCTCCATTAGATTATGCATGCTCGTTAGAAACTGGATGTTTATTCATCATCTATTAAACAGATCATAGGTGGTAAATATCTCCTGTTATGTGTAAACCACTTTGGAGGATATAAGTAGTTCAGGATGGTTGTACCCGAGGAGCAACGATAAGTTAACGATTTTGATTTTTTCATCAGTCTACCTGATGGAAAGAAAAAGGCAGAAATGTACGAGGCTATGAGACGCTTATGTAATTTACCCTTGGTGTCTCTTGCTATAATCTTTCTTGTGCTTTGATCACATTATCGCTAAGCTATACATGTTAGGGTGCCAACAGATTTGGAGTACAAAGACAGGTCATGGACATGTAAAACAGAGACAAACAGGAAGAAATCTATTTTTTTATTCACAAAAGGTTTAGCACCTAAGAGTTTCTTTTATACCGCAGTTGGAAATATACAAAACATTGTTCACAAATCCTGATTTTACATTAAAAGCTTCAACAATAAAACTTTTTCAATCTATGCACTGGGACAAAATTAGAATCAAACCACTGAAAAGAAGCAAATGTTTTATTTATTGCTGTTTATCGGACAAGTCTACGATAAATTCTCCTCGGCACTGAGACAGAAATCACCATGTCCTATGATGTTCAGAACTTGGGCGCAGGCAATTTAAATCTTTGTTTGCCATCAGGTGCCTTTTTGTTCAAGGTACACGCAAATGCGGGGCTACTTACCTCTCCTGGCCGGATCTTAATGTAAAAGTTGTTCCGTTTGTATGAAATTTTTAGAACCTTAGGCCAGGCAAATCTGTTTATTCTCAGTCGGTCACGATATATCAACAGACCACTCGCACAAACTCCTAGCATAATTTCTACTCCTTCAGAATCCTGGAAAAGAGCACCAAGAAACAATGGATCAGTATTTCACTTTTTTTCACTGACAGCTGAGTAGGGAATTTAAGCTTCCATGAAAGAAGCTATAATTGACTATCTATAGCTCTAATTTAAATACGAAGAACACTGCAGCCATTTTTTTTTTAAACACTGCCACTAAGTAATAGGCTCCTAATGAAGATATTAATCATTATGGAGATATGTCAGAGTTAAACTGGCTCACGCTCAGGTATCTTACAACGTAAATACCGCACACAGAGAAGGTCGACCAGATGATGTGCTAATAGCAGGAAGAAATCATCGCTGCCCTTCTAAAATGGTTACAGCCGTTTAATGTGTATTAACTCCTTTCATTTTTACGGTGATATTTTGAGAGAGTTGCTATGACTGTTCCTAGTTTACAGAGGAGGACACTTTTCAGGCATGGAGAGGTGAAGGGTCCTTCCCAATTGAATATGAGCAGCCTGGCTGCAGAGATAGAACGTTCAGCTGATATGGATACTAACAGAGAGGCTCTGCCCCTTCTCAAGAGTGTTTTGGAGTTTGTTCCGTTAAAAGAGAGCCTTAGAAAAAAATCTTTTTTACATACCATTAGTGTCAGAGTGAAATTTAAATATAAAATCATTTTTTAAATTACGAGCGTACTTCCCCAATGTGCCTAGAACACACACACTGCCCAGTTGCAGTCACATTTGAAAACCGGTTCACATACATGAATATCAGCACATTTTCTATAGGTATATAGTTTTCTTTTTTTAAGTGGGAGCATGCTATATTTATAGCTTGTTGTTCTGCTACTTGGCACATTTACTTCACCTTTAGGTCACTTCCTAGGGATGTGGGATGAGAAGTCTCAGAGATCAGAGGTCATCAGGGAGGTCATATAAAGCTCAGGAGACTGAGTGTGTCCAGCCTATGCCCCCCACATGTTGTATTTGGGTGAAACGGGGTAAAATCAACCCATGTGATGGCCCTGACTGGGGGAGACACAAAGGACAGAAGGCAGGACTGTGTGTGAGGCTCCGTCCCCATCTCCTTGTCACACTGGATGTTGGAAGCAGGGGGCACATAGGAGGTGAAGCTGAGGTCTTCTGCCACATATTAATCAGCAGGACTGTCCCTGGAACTGAGTCACTCTGCAGTGGTGAAGAGGGGAGGGGGTATGGAAGAATCCTAACAGGAGAGTCTGACTCATCCCCACTGTGGGCATTTACTTCCTCAATCTTGCCAGTGCAAGGCAGAAAATGAACATTTCCAGAATCAAAAATAAATATTTCGGTCCATCTCTAGGAAATTTAAGTCTACAAATACCATCTAACTGGATTAAAATGAAATATTTTACCCTGGAAACAGATCGCTCCATTAAGGTACAAAATTACTCTACACAAGTGGAAATACTTGATGGCAGGATATTACAACATAATTAAATTCTGAGGAGAGCTCAAAGACCAGAAACTGTCCACCATTTATCAGGGGCTTTCATCTGAACGAGCAATTGGAAGAGCTAGAGCTGATACTGACAAATAGCTGGCACTATTGATCCTTCAGAACCAGCCAATGTGCTCACAGGGCCGCTCAGAGGTGACTCCTCGTGCCCAGAGCAGAAATGCAGGCACGAGGGGAGGATTGTTTGATTAAAGGTCCTTGATTCGCTTTCTGGGTGATAAATACAGAGCTTAGTTGGGGAACTAGGCCTTTGACCTACGGAAGAAAGGACACTTAAAAGCTCTTTTGTTATTATTATTATTTTTAAATCACCCATTAGTGTCTTTGAGTAACGAGAAGCCAGAATCCTTCCTGGGGAAGATGAGGAAGCCTCCTCTGACCCCTCCTCTCCACCACACAGGCCTCCCGCGTCCCTGTATCATTCTGTCCTCGCCAGCACACCCCAAGCAAGTGGCGCTCCAATCAGCTCCCTCCCACACCTTGCTCTCCTCAAGACTGGAAGCTGCTTGAGGGCAGGAGCTCTGTTTTACCTTTGCCCAATCAGCGGTCATACAGCACCTCCCTAGCAGGCATTAAGCCATCACACGTTTGTTGAAAGAGAGGGCAAGGGAAGAAAGAAAACGTCAGGAATAGGTGGGGTTTTAAACTGAACCAACGTTTCCATGTCGTTACTCCGAAGTAAGAACAGAGTAACACGTTTGATTATCAAGTGTTCTGCCACAGCCCGTAGTCCTGACGTCAGCTTGGTAATTTTTTTGTACTGAAAGCTGTCACCGCGGTCTTTACTGGGGACGTGGGTGTTTCCCTACCAATAAACACATTAGATGCTCCCTTTAGCAGGGAGCACTGAAGGGAGATCTGGATGGTCTCAGTCTATCATAATTAAAATAAATGAGTGTACTATTCCCTTAATTTAAAATCACTGCTCAAACTGCATCCTTCACTTATCACTCGGTCCATGGGATACCCAATAAGGAGTTTTATCTGTATTTCAGAATCTTATATGGAATAAATGACTCTGACAGCACCTACTCAGACTGACATTAAATGACAAACAAGCAGAGGCAGTCTTCCTAAGAAAAAAAGACAAAGCATTTAGAATAGGTTTTCCAAAACAAGGGACCCGCATCTAATAATATGTTAGGTATTCTTTATAGAGCCATGGAGTCCAAAATCACAATTCAGAAATTCTAAATAGGCCCTAAAGCCCAGAGCTTTATACCATCCACAGAAGAGAAGCATCTCACTTATAACCGGAAATCAGTTCTAATTTAATTCAGTAAATTTCCTCCTTGAAATGATGGAGTGTGGCTGTGCCAGAAAATGGGAGTCCGCAGCTGAACATTCGTTATACTTAATATTCAGATGAAATCCTGTCATAGGCTGCATTGGTGCTTCCTTAACTTTCTTTTTAATTGGCGTGATTTCAAATCATATTAGTGAATGAAAAAGCAGTGATCTATTTTAATTTAGTAGCTATAGCAATGTTAAGTGATTTTTATTTGCACTGATAGGAACACTGATAAATCTAGAGCTGTACTGCCCCAAATGTATGCCCTAATCTTTTACTTATTTATTTTTCCTGGGCAGTAAGTGATTCATCGTGAGTAATGTAACTCAAAAAACAAGCTTTCAATTTGCTCGAATTTTCAGGCTACCTTCATTTCCTTCTTGTTTCCCTATCTGTTAGCCACCTAGGGAAAAACTCGAAGAGAAAAGCAATCTTAGCGTATGTCCCTATCTTTTTTTAAATCCTCATCCTGCCTTCTATAGCATAAAATACACGACATTTTCTTATCTGAGTGAGAAAGAAGTGAAAAAACAGAATAACAAACTGGCAAGTAAATAGAGCTATAGCTGCTGTTGTAATTACACACCAATGTCAAAGAGCTCGGCATTCCATGTACCGACACATCCCTCAGATAGGTATGCCCCAGCTGAGTCTATGAGATTTTGCTAGTGTTCAGGCCTTCAGGCCTTGGAAGTGCCTGTCCTGTATGATCTACAGCATGGTCTGCAGACATAAGCAATCAAACCTGTGTTTATCGGATGGCCACCATTTCCTTGTCCAAACTCAGTGGGGATCAGTCTGCTCACTGAGAGCCAACCAGGGAGGGGCCTTACTTCCAGCATCAACAGAGCCTGCAGATCATAGACGGGTCCCCTGGGTTGGTGCGAGCCAGCTGAAACTCTCTTCATTTCTTAGCCCCAACCTTGACGGTGTAAGATACTTGAATGCCTGAAAGCCCGTTAACTGCGTGTTCCTTGGGTCCCAAAACTGGTGACTATGCAGTCCGTTAGTACTAAAGGCACGTTCCCATACGGGAGTGATAGTCTCTTGACAGCCCAAGTCAGAAGAAACTGCCTCTGAACTTCAAACACTCATCTTTTTAAGGCTACTAAAAGTTCCAGCATCGATCCCCACGATCCTAACAAACTTCCTATGTTTTGGATGAAAGTTTTCGTAAGGCTTCCTGTGCTTCTCCAGTACCTTTGTTCATAGCTGCTCAAATAATAGACTAATAGCCCCTACAGTCATTCTCTCACTGCTGAAAAATACAGAGATTATGGGAAAAGTGTGACCCAAAGTAAACACCTTTACGCATCTTCGCCACCTCAACCCTCCTACAGCCTGGTCCCAACTTCTTCAAAAGACTCCGTAGCCAAGATAGAATTTTAACATTTCGCCGACCACCATTCAACTAGGCAAGCCTTAGCTTGGGGGGTTAATTTTAGTTGAGCTTCAAAATTATAACCTTATTTCAAAGCACTGATTGTCTGTCAGAGAACCCAAGTTCTAGAGAGTTATTTCAATTTAACAGGTATTTGCTATGTGCTGGGTGATCACCCAGGACAGAGGCATAAAGAGCACTTGGCACATAAGAGATGTGACGATTGGGTCTTGGACAGTTGGCCAAGTTTGGACAGGTAGACAGGAAGGAGGACAGCCCAGAGAAAGAGAGGCATATTCAGGGAAAAGGCAGAGGGGGATCTGGCAGAAGCAAAGGGCACGTGTTGGCACAAAGCGGGAGATAAAACTGTGACAGGGAAGGGGGCTGAGTTAGGAGCTTGCGATGTGAAGATACATTTATAACTGAACCAACAGGCAATCGGAGGCTTTGCCTACTGTGACCTTTCAGGAGCTGAGGTCAGGAGCAATGGGAGTTTGAGCCATGCAGAGCAAACCCTTCAGTCCAAGTATCAGAGAGCTGAATGTGCTTTATCATTGAGTAGGCCTTAAAAGCAAGCACGGAGTGGAATCCCCCAGTTTTTGTTTATAATGCCTGTAGTAAAAATCACCGGCCTGTATTAATAATAACCTTGAATTTAATACAACTGAATAGGAAGGTTGGGGTTTGAAAAATGCGTACCTTGGCATGATGTAAATCGACCCCATACATGGACAGCTTTTTGGCATTTTCCAAGAAATGCATCTCTGCTTCTGCTGGCGTCATTCCTCTGATAAGAAAAAAAAATGTGTTACGATGCTGCTTTGCTCTCTGTAATATTTCCCACTTAGCCCCTGGCTATATACTAAGCAAGTCCCCGAAGAGGCACTAGCAGGTTTGTGGTCGGCAGGGGGTGGGGGAGAATAACAAGACAAAAGGCTCTCAAAGAGCATCGGAGCCACAATGTAACCACCCAGAATTGTACCAAGTACAGAACCTCACTCTGCTGCAGTCCCAACCTGCATGCCACTGAAATCAGTCCTGGGAAAAGCAGGTGGTACCAGTGAGGCTCACCCACCCAGGCACACGCTAAGTCGAATGTCTTCAGGGTTTCTGCACTGACCTGTGGCTCTTGTGCAGCTCGATCACTTTGTCTTCCAGTTCTTTCGTGTGGTTTGGGGCGAAGCGGAACTCACTAATGTAATCATTCCCGCATTCATCTGGGTCATAGTCTCCAAGTTCTGACTGGACAGTGTAGGAGCCCAACAGGGCCAGGGTGACAAAGGAGCAGGGCAGCCTTCCGGACACGATGTCATCTCGCAACTGTAGGCAGAGGTAGTACCTTCCAGGAACCAAAAGACAAGGCAAAAAGCCAGCATTAGGACATGTGAAAAGCAGGCCACTTGATACATATTGTACTGTAAGCGATTTCTTCCTGTTGAAAAATCTCACTAGAATTTTCCTTCATCTGTATTTTGATTGGGATGTCAGGGGATGTCAGGGGAAAATGCTTGGCTACAAAATACAATATTTAAGGGCATCTAGAGGCAAGCCAATGTTCATAATAAAACAAGCTTTTATAACTAAAGCACAGAGTAAAAGAAACCTCATGACCTGTTCCTTTAACATCTTTTACAAGAACTAACATTTAAAATCAAATAAATGAGCCCTCAACACACTCACTGCAATCTCTGGTTGGGGGAATTATCATACAAAAATGGTGCTGTTAAATGCAGTTATTAGGTCTCTACTAGCCTTAAGGAAGTTTCATTTTAAAGTCTTGGTTAAAGGTCCTGCCCTACAACCGAGACAGATTTCAGCTAACTCAACAGTTACACCATCATAAACTCTGCTTTCGACCTCCTGCATTCCTCATGCAGTGGTCTCTTTATGAGAACAATTTCTCCTGTTTCAAGTTCTCTCTCTCTCTCTCTCTCTCTCTCTTTTTTTTTTTTATTTAGCGGACTTTTTAGAATCCAATTGATAGGAAGATTAACTCTGAAGACTTACTACTTTAAAATCTGAGAACCTCCTCATTAAAAGTACAGCTTTCTATTCAAGGAATACAAAACATGTTCCACTTAATTTGGCCGAGAAATCATGCAAGTATCTCCATTAATAGCAGACTTATCTCCCCTGTTACTCTGCTTTTCAAGATCTATAGATCTAATACTAACTGCAGAAGACCCCAAGGTAAGTGTTAACATTGATGACGTTTAAAAATACTCTTCAAGGCCCAGCATAGAGGTATAATAAAATATACAAATACCTTTCATATAAGAGATAAACTGTTAATCGGCTGAAGCTGAAGACTATGATTAAAGTCCTAAGGTCCCCTCTAAATGTGAAGGAAACTCCATGTGATACAGACTCACTCTGTAAACATTGCACAAATAGATGGGAACCGTGTGTGCACTGCATTTCAAATCCAGGTGTATTTGGCTCTATGACCAATCAATTAGCCACAACTAAGTGGTTCCTCAATATTATTAAAAAGTTATCTTGAAATAAAAAAATCCTACATTTTCTTTGATTTCATGCACATGTAAAAGAAATCCTCTGTAACTATTTTTTGCCCTTCTCCTAACATGCCTGCTGGAATTATTTTTACTCATAGCAAGGCACCAGAGCTTTTTTGAGTCCTTTCCCTTTTCTGAAAAGCCCTCCAAGGAGGATGTGAGGCTTACACAGAAAACCCAGCACACATGGCACAACGTCACCCTGACTGGCTGCAAACTGACTGCCAACCAGGGTGCGAGAGCCAGGGGTTCCAAGGCAGGATGCGGAAAAGCCCAGAACACACAGCAAACCCAGGCCAGCCTCATAAAGGAAACTCCTTTCACACCCAGAGCTCAGTCATCGCACAAGAATAGTTTTACATTCGATTCCTTTCTCTGGGTCTTCTTTCCCCAAAATGAATTAATCATTTTGTCTAGACAGGTCACGGAAAATAAACTCTTAAATGTACACGTTTATGCGTATCATATGTGTGCATGTACGTATCATTTTTTAAATCGCTGCTTAGATGCTTATGCCTTTTATATAACCAATCTGATACACGGCAGCTATTTAAAAAATGATACACACGTGAACACTTTTTTGACTCGGAGTTTGAGAGCAGGACTGCTAGAAATTGCTGTATCATTTAATGCTGAATCCCATCCACTGTGATCGTGGCAGGTGGATGACAGTTTCTCAGGGCTGTGTGTTTTCCCGCCACGGTCAGCCAGCGGGAACTATCAGCTTAGCACCAAAGATTCACTGTGAACAGACAGGATTTGGCAAATCTTCTCATCAGATGTTTGCTCTCACTCTGTTGTCTTTGGTTTGCCATTTCTGTGGGGATGACTGTGAGGTTACCAGACGTAAGCACGCTTTTCTCCGGAGAATAAAGACAAGCAGCTTTCCCGATATGCCTGCCTTTTTTCAGAGCCAACTTTCAAATACCTGGTGATGTCTTCAGAGAGCTGGGCGGGGTCTGGTGGGTAAAATTTCACATTAAATGAAAAGTGCCAAGCACCACCTGCAGAGAGGAGACATTAGAATGGAACCTTAGAAAAGCCCTTTGTATTTCTTATTCTGATAGTTAGAACTGCCTCAACTCCAAGTACTAACACCCAGGCAACCTTTGCTCCCAAGTGGAAAACCGGAAAGTCTCCATCAAATGAAGTCCAGATAGGTCTGAAACTTCATCTAATCCCAAATCCTGTACCAGTGTTTCTAACTAGCTTGGAAATTGACTAGGCTTCCTCCCTTTCTCAGGGACGAGGGTAAGCCTTTGGAAGAGGGACAAAACAGGAATGGTACGGATAATCCTCAATCAGACAAGTCCGGAATTGACTGGTTCTATTGCTATGACACTCTGGATAGCTCACAGACCAAGAGTACAGGCACAATCCCATTTCCTTTGTCCTTCCTGCTTTGCCATTGCAGGTCAAATCCCATTACAATACACGTCAAGGGACCGTTCAAGATAATTTTTTAACGGAAGGTTTACTGTAGTCAATATTTGTGTGAGCTGCTCTCTAGGCTGCTGAAGATTCTTTTCTCACTTGGGGAAATGTCTGGTTCAAGAGAGGCCTGAATGTATTAACTGTACTTTACTAAGTTCCACACCTCCTTATGAGGCCACGACTTGGGCTGATGCTCTTAACGTCTTGCCTTTCTTTATCCTATGGCATCGACTTTCGGCCTCTCCAGCAAGGAAAAGAATCAACCAGGTGTCAGCTTACAGTCACGTACTCTCTGTACTGTCCACACTTCTGCTTGAAACGTTATTAAGCTCTACTCAACTCTCCGTTTTATTAATACTGTCTCTAATTGTGTGTGGTTTATCATTATAAACAAGGAAAAACAGCCTTTTCTTTTCTCCATGTGCTTTCTCTCTAACGGATCACTCCTTTAATTCACATTCACTTCGTTTTTCTCTTCTGGCCTTTTAAGGCAGGACCTTATTAAAGTCTGGCTGTTCCTTCACCAGACATTTGCTCCCTCCGTGTAGTAACCACAGAAGTGCCACAGTGTAGACCTTGCTTATATTCTGAATGTGCTCCTGAAAAATTCCTCCCTCTCTCCCTGGCTTCCATGCTGGAAGCCTTTCCTCTACACCACAAGCTGTAGCCACTCTTTTCACTCTGGGATTCTGTGACCTCACAGTCCAGCCCTTATGTTTCAGATATTCCCCAAAGATGCCCTAACACCCTCTTCTCCCCATTAACTGACTTCTGGAAACTTCCATTTTCTCCACAAGTCCTTTGCAAACATTCAGAAGAAAGGGGTAGCATTTTAAGTGCTAGCTGCTTTCTTTGGGTCACTCTCTTGCGAAGGAGGCAAACACTCTTAGCTGCAGAGGATACCTATATTCTATCTTAACGGCACAGGTACTTTTATTAGTTCTAGCATATTCTTGATGCTACCATTCATATTATACTTAAAATTCCACATGGCAGGATCACTCCCTGAGTTGTCTTTTAAAGAAGTGGCATAAGGCCAGGTATCGCTGGCTGCTTAATATCATTTTTAAATCACTCAGAAAATATTACTGAAACATGGGCAGTAAGAATTATAAGCTATCGGTCAATCCAATATATTTCTAGTGATTATTCTTCCAAGTCCTTTTGTTACTTGAAAAATGGTCGGATCTGGTTTTACTTTCCTATTGATGCCTATTCATTTTCTGCTATGATGGATCTCCTCACTGCTTGCCAATGGTGAGGTTCATAAAGGAGAGCTGGCTTCCCCCCAAGCAACTGGAAGGAAAGTTAACGGATTAGTTACGAGAAATGGATTTATTTCTCTTTTTTAGAATTTTTATCCATTTCAAAGTATGCCTCGAATCCAATGAATAGTTTAGCAATGTAATTAAACAATCTCATGATAAATTTAAGATAAACATTCTAGGTTGGAAACTAAGACATAATAAAAGTAGAAGAAAGATATTTCGATGCAAAAATCCTCACAGCGGGAAAATAAATTTCAAACTATAGTTGGCCTGAGGTGCTGGCTAAAAATGGCAATTCCTAGGCTCTACCCAGAGATTTTTTTTTTTAAATGTGCCTTTATTATTTCTTTTTCAATATATGAAGTTTATTGTCAAAATTGGCTCTACACTCCACAGTTTATCCCAACAGGTGCCTCCTCAATACCCATCACCCACCTCCCCTGCCTCTACCTCCCCATCAACCCTCAGTTTGTCTTCCTCAGTTTTTAAGAGTCTCTTATGCTTTGGCTCTCTCCCCAACCTTTTTTTTTTTTTTTTCCTTCCCTCCCCCATGGGTTTCTGTTAAGTTTCTCAGGATCCACCCCAAGAGTCCATGGTATCTGGTTCTTCTTGTATGGCCCTCACTTAGCATCACACCTCCAGTTTCATCCAGCAGCAGCATGCTAAAGGGCCATATTTTCATTCTTCTCGTTAATGAAGCACCTATTGTATATAAACCACAATTTCTTTATCCATTCATCAGTTGATGGACATTTAGGCTCTTTCCATAATTTGGCTATTGTTGAGAGTGCTGCTATAAACATTGGGGTACAAGTGCCCCTCTGCATCAGTACTCCTGTATCCCTTGTCTACCCAGAGATTTTTATTCAAGAGATTTGGTGTACGGGCCCAGGAACTTGTGTGTGTGTGTGTGGTTTTTTTTCTTCTTCTTTTTTTAATGTTTAGTTATCTTGAGAGAGAGTGAGAGACAGCATGAGGAGAGGGGGAGAGAGAATCCCAAGCCGGCCCACACTGTCAGCGCAGAGCCCGACATGGGGCTTAAACTCACGAAACGGTGAGATCATGACCCGAACCTAAATCAAGAGTTGGACGCTTAACCAACTGAGCCACCCAGGTGTTCTGGAACTTGTGGTTTTAATAAACCCCCTTGTGGTTTCAAGACAGGTGGGCTTGGGGACCATACTTTGAAGTGGGATGTTTAAGGAAACTACAATCTATCCCCCATCAAGAAAAAAAAATCTAGTTAAATGAGGCATAAGATTTGAAATTAACAAGAGAGGCAGATTATGGCTCGAATATATATTCCCATAAAGAATCTTATAGAAACTAATCAACTGGGAAACTATGATTATGTAATGATGGGCTCACAAGCCTGAATCTGCTCAGATGATGGCCCTGGTTAGAAACAAGAAACCACGTGAATGTGTTAAAATGATATTCCTAAAATGTTAACACAGGATTTCACCACAAATTTATGATAGAAAACTATGAAACTGAAGAGTTCATTCTTATAGAAAATTCTAACTTAGTATTGTATGGCTACCAAATCTTGAATTTTTAAGTATGCTGCATTCATGGCATAAAATTACTATAAATTACTATATACACTATATAGACCATACACTGTATAGCATGAAATGATTATATTATAAATATATTTACATCACAAAATACAGTATTTTTAGAAATTTTAACATCTGGTCTACATTAAAATGACTAGAATTATAATTTTTTGATAACAAACTCTTCAGTTTCAGAATTTTCTATTTCTCATCAATTAGTAACTTAAAGTCTTTTTAAAAAAATGTTTAAATGTTTATTTTTCATAGAGAGAACACAAGGGAGGGGGGAAGAGAAGACAGAGAGGAGACCCAGAATCTGGAGGAGGCTCCGGGCTCTGAGCTGTCAGCACAGAGCCTGACGCGGGGCTTGAACCCACAGACCTTGAGATTATGACCTGAGCTGAAGTTGGTCCCCCAACCAACTGGGCCACCCAGGCACCCCTGTAACTTAAATTCTTAAGTAACTTAACATATCAGGTTGATTGCCCTTCTCTGAGAAGACCTAATTCTAAAATATGCATGTATATGCGTTTTAACTGAAGTATATTTGACACTCAATGTTACATTAGTTTCAGATGTATAACATGGTGCTTGGACAACTCTAGACATTACGCTATGCTGTGCTCACAAATGCAGCTACCATCTATCACCACACATCATCATTACAATCCACTGACTATATTCCTTATGTAGTATCTTTCATCCCTGTGACTTATTCATTCCACACCCGGAAGCCCCTATCTCCCACTCCCCTTCACCCATTTTTGCCCATGATCACCCCCCCCTCCCCACGCCCCACCTCCCCTCTGGCCACCATCAGTTCTCTGTATTTGTAGATCTGTTTCTGCTTTGTTTATTTTGTTTTTCAGATTCCACACAGAGGTGAAACCATACGATATTTGTCTTTTTCTGACTTACTTCACTTAGCATAATATACTCGAGGTCCATCCATGCTGTTGCAAATAGCAAATCTCACTCTTTTTTACGGCTGAGTAATATTTTTATTTTACACACACACACTCCACCTCTTCTTTATTCATTCATTAGTCCATGGACACTTGGGCTGCTTCCATATCTTGGCTATTATAAATAATGCTGCAATAGAGGCACCTGGGTGGCTCAGTCGGTTGAGCGTCCGACTTCAGCTTAGGTCATGACCTCGTGGGTCATGAGTTCAAGCCCTGCGTCAGGCTCTGTGATCATAGCTCAGAGCCTGAAGCCTGCTTCAGATTCTGTGTCTCCCTCTCCCTCCGCCCTTGTCCCCCTCACACTCTGTCTCTCTCTCTCTCAAAAATAATAAACATTAAAAAAAATTTAAAAGAAATAAATAAAAATAAATAAATAATGCTGTGATAAAACGTAGGGGTGAGTATATCTTTTTAAATTAGTGTTTTGGTTTTCTTTGGCTAACTGCCCCGAAGTAAAATTGCTGCGTTATATGTTAGTCCTATTTTTAGTTTTTTGAGGAACCTCCGTACTGTTTTCCACAGCGGCGGCACTGATTTATATTCCCACCAACAGTGCACCGAGGTGTCTTTTCTCTGCATCCTTGCCAACACTTGTTGTTTGTCTTTCTGACGTTATCCTTTTTAAAATTTTATTGTTGTTTTTTTCTTATTTTCGAGAGCGAGTGAGCTGGCAAGCAAGCATGAGGGCGTGAGCAGGGGAGAGGACCAGGGGAGGAGAGAGACTCCTAAGCAGGCTCCGTGCACAGCACAGAGCCCAACACAGGGCTCGATCTCACAACCATGAGATCATGACCAGAGCTGCAATCAAGAGTCAGATGCTCAACCAACTGAGCCACCCAGGCGCCCCGGGATTAGCCTTTCTGACAGGGGTAAGGTGATACATATCTCCTTGTGGTTTTGATCTGTATTTCCTGGCTTTCATTTATATTTATGAAAAGGAGATGATGGTACAATAATTCCATTTGATTTAACAGTTCTTTGTGTTGATAGGATGTAAATTTTGTGGAAAGAAGGCACGTTGGTGCACGGGAAACAATAAGGAATACAGATAAAAATACCAGATTCAATTAAAAAAAATTCCAATATTCCTTGTTTCCTCCTCTATCTGCAGGATTATCACTTAGTTTTTTTATGTTGCAGTCACAAGTATCGCCTAAGCTGCATGATGAAAATATCCTTTAAATCTCAGTTCTGATTGCCCTGTTTCTTCTCTCAGAAAGAAAGGTAGGAGGACAGGATAAATGGGAAGTTAAGGAAAAAGAAAAGAATTCCATTAGCAAGAGAGAAGAAAATAGATGTTTATACAGCTTTTCTTCTACCAATATTGTGACTTATCCCTGACATTTAATATATTTTCAAAGGGCTTTTTGTGATTACAAATCACCCAAGAAAGAAATAGCATTTCATTAATTAGATGAATATAGAAGACTTTATGCACAACATATTAGGATGCATATTCAACACATCTGCTTTTAGTAACTCCATGAAAAAATTCCTAGGACACATTCATCATCATACATTTTTTATTAGGACTCGGAATGAAAAGGAGTGTTTTCACAACTGGAGCTATCCCTGGTTTCAATCCCGATTTCTTCTTCTTGTTCCTTTTTTTTTTTTTTTTTAAGTTTATTTATTTTGAGAGAGAGCAAGCAGTGAAGGGGCCCCGAGAGGGAAAGACAGAATCCTAAGCAGGCTCTAGGCTGTCAGCACAGAGCCGACGCGGGGCTCAAACTCAAACTGTGAGATGATGACCCGAGTCGAGATCAAGAGTTGGACACTTTAACCACCTAAGCCACCCAGGCACCCCAATCCCAATTTATTTCTACCAAATACTTTCAAAGGGCTTTTTGTGATTGCAAATCACCCAAGAAAGAAACAGCATTTCATTAATTAGATGAATATAGAAGACTTTATGGACAACATATTAGGATACATATTCAACACATCTGCTTTTAGTAACTCCATGAAAAAAACTCCATGAAAAACTTGATTACCAAGTTTCTTATTAGTAAATATATCAAATTTCTCCTAAAAATATGATAGACATGTTTAGCTGTATACATAATCATTAGTCTCTCTAATATCTACATTACAGTGACTTTTTTTGAGAGATCTACTATTAAGCCATTTCACTACTCATTATTTTTTATTAGAACATGGTGTGTTCGGATATCTCATTCAAAGGCACCGGAAATCCTTGATAAATTTCTACAAGTAAAATTCGGGGTCAAAGAACAAGCGCATTTTAAATTTTAATAAATACTGACCAAGTACCCTCTTTAAAGGGTGGTACCAATTCACACTCTACTAGCTGTGCACGTAGCTGCTAGCGCAGTGCGTTCGTAAACTTGTACAATCTTTGTTAACCTGAGTAAGTGAAAAAGGATGTCTAATTTGCATTTAACTATTAGTAAGATGTAGCAACTTGTCTCATACTTTCTAGCTACCTGTATTTCAGTTTCGTGGGCTGTTCCTGCAATTGGTTTGTCTGTTAGGAAATATGCATTTCTTAACTTGCCTTTAGGGACCAAGAACAGAGGGTGTTGGGGCACCTGGGTGGCTCAGTCGGTTAAACGTTCGACTTCGGCTCAGGTCATGATCTCAATCTGTGGGTTCGAGCCCCGCATCGGGCTCTGTGCTGACAGCTCAGAGCCTGGAGCCTGTTTTGGATTCTGTGCCTCCCTTAATCTCTGCCCCTCCTCTGTGCGCGCGTGCCTGCGCGCGTGCGCACACACACACACACACTCTCTCTCTCTCTCAAAAATAAACATTAAAAAGAAAAAAAGAAGGGGCGCCTGGGTGGTGCAGTCGGTTAAGCGTCTGACTTCAGCCAGGTCACGATCTCGCGGTCCGTGAGTTCGAGCCCCGCGTCGGGCTCTGGGCTGATGGCTCAGAGCCTGGAGCCTGTTTCTGATTCTGTGTCTCCCTCTCTCTCTGCCCCTCCCCCGTTCATGCTCTGTCTCTCTCTGTCCCAAAAATAAATAAATGTTGAAAAAAAAATTAATAAAAAAAAAAAAAAAAAAAAGAAGAAGAAGAATAGAGGCTGTTACCAGATAGTAAACTTCAGTCTGACTTGTTACTCTATTTCTCAACTAGCCAGTGACTATTACCTTTAACTTGACTTTTATACTTTTGTGGCACTTAGGCTTAATTAACATTAAGCTTGGAACTTTTAAATGGTTAATTGTCAACTGCAGCATCACCTGATTAAATCACATTTCACACTGTGCACAAGCAGGGAAATAGGTCAAATGTCATAGTCATTTTATTCCTGAGCTGTGATGATTAAAAATGGGTATTTACGCCAGACCAACCTGTCAAAGATAAAATTTGAGATCTTAATCTTTTAAAAAATCGGTGTTCTCACTAGCTATGTGGGTATGGGCCACCAAGTCAGACAACCATGCTCTCTGAACATCTCATTTCGCATCTCCATGTAAAATAATCCAAAAGAACTTACTTCGAATCTGTTTTTTTATTTCCTTAGCAGGGTCCAGCCAATTCTGAAAAGGAAATGACAGTTTGAATTTGAACCAGAGAAAAATAAAAATAACTTCACAATGCTCAGGTAGAGACATGCACTAAGCCTATCTGAGAGGGAACGGTTGCTGGCAGGCCCTTGGACTTACGACCTTCCCCCACCTCTGGTGCCCCTTCCCCAGGCCCTGCGAGGGCTCAGGCACCAGTGTGACGAGCCAATGTGTGTGTATGCACAATTCATGCATGACAAGATAATTTTCTTTTACAACACTACCTTCAAAGATTCGAGCCAGTGCAGAAACAGAGGAGAAATACAATAGTGGATTCTATGTTCAAAGAAGTTACTAGAATAAATTAAAGACACATGTAGGTTGACATACTGATGCCTTTGCCCACAGAGTGACTTCTGTGGTTACAGATTCTTAGCCACAGTGTTCTAACAAATGAACACTCACTTGAGATTTATTATTTTCCTCATCAGAAAACTCAGATGTTTAGTAACGAAGTTAGACATTGTTCAGTGAATTGGGTAGGTATTAAGTATGATTCAATGCACAACGTCAAAACAAAGTAACATCTATGAGCAAAATTTCTGTGACTTAGTTTCAAGCACGAATACGACAGAAACAATTTCTTCTTCTTTATTTTTCAGGTAGTTGTGGGAATCAGTGAGACAAAGCCCTGAATAGACTGTATTACTCAGGTGTAAGAGTCTATAGAAGTATTATGTTAAATACCTGCTGAATACATTAGACAGGGGTCTGGTCAGCAAACGACCCGTGTCATAGTTTGATTTTGTAAGGCTATGAAAGCATACAAAGATGAATTAAGTACGGGACATCAGTCAGGGAATACGTTTTCTATGTTAGTTAGTATCGATATATTTGATTTTCATGGGCTCAAATCCACTGAAAAACATCATCCAAGAAAAGAACCATATAAGATGCTTTCCTGGAACCATAAATAACTCATGTGTGAAATACTGACTTAATGTTTCTGGAATACTCAAGATTAAAGGAAGTTATCAATAATATCTTTAATAAAGAAATGAGGTGATTAACAGCATTTTGGGACTCAAAGGTGTAAATGTGGGAGGATGAGGGAGATGGAGAAAATGATCCACCAGTTCAGTTCTCATTCCCTTTCTTGCAGCAATACTCAAGACATAGGTTTTGTATTGCTTTTAATGACTCACCTTCTGGTTTTCGGCATCTCGATACGTAAGCCCAAAATAGTCCTTTTCTAGCAAGTTCAGATGTTCACATACTTTATCAAAGAGCACTTGGCCTCTGGAGCGTTTCTTTGGAAAATAAAACAAAAACAAGTCAACACACAAAGTTCTCTCAATTGCCACGGATAAGAATCAATAAAATTTGAAATATTGCTTGCTGTAACTGTTCAGTACGTGACACTCAAATCTGACCACTTCACCATCTCCTAACTAGTGAAAAGGTTCAATAACGTGGGCCCACGCCTACAAAACTCTGCCCTGACAACCAACTAATGAAACCAAAACTCACTGGTACCGCTGAGTGAGTTCAGGCAACCTGCTGATGATTTCGAAATAGAAGTAGCTGGGGAAATGATGTGGGGCTTAGAAGCCTCAACTATCTTGTGAAATAGAAAAATCTTGAGAGTGAAAGAGTACAAAGGAGCAACAAAAGCCGTGTTTCAGAATGCCCTAACTCAGTCCCCACACGACCACATTTGAAGAATCGAACCCATCCCTTATCTTAGGCAGACTTCCCCTTAAGACTTCCTATTCCAATGCTTACTTAGAAATTCTAGCTACCGATTGCTTTCTAAAGCCCATTAACTTCACTGGTTTATTTTTACAGGTTTTTTTTTTTTTTTTTTTTTTTTTTTTTGGCCACAAATTTCAGTTTTGTATTACAGTGTTCAATTTTCTCTGAATTTCCTTCTGAGAAATCCTTCCTATTAAACATTAAATGTTCATGAAGTTTAAACATTTTAGTTATTGTTTATACATATAAGGTATAAATGATGTACATAGATCATTTATACATATAAGATGTAAATGTATATATTTATACATATAAGGTATCATTATACATATAAGGTACATATACATATCATTTATACATACATACACACAACTAAACATTTTAGTTATCATTTATACATATATACATGTATATATGTTATACATCTATATAGTTATTTATACATATATAGATAAGTATATGTTATACATCTATATAGTTATCATTTATACATATACATATCATTTATACATATAATCATGTACATTACCATATACATGATAAATGTGTATCATTTATACATATATATTAGTTATCATTTATACACTTATACATATATATTTTAACCATAACACAGTCATTTGGAGAAGAGAAAAAGGTAGTCATCTGAGGGGAAAAAAAACCAAAACTATCTATTAGCTTAATTTACTGTGATACCCAGTATCATATTTTCATGGGATCTTTCAAAGGTCTCTCAACCTGGTCTTGGAGACAGAGATGGATTAACTGGCAACAATTAAAATACGTTTTGTTTGGACAGTGCCAACATTTCACCCCGATACATTAAGCACATTTACCTCTAAGATTTAATACAGTAACAATGAGAGGTAGGAAAATTGATAAACACTGTGTATGCCAAAATAGTAAAAATTCAGAAACCTGTAAGTGCTGTTTATTACTAAGCAACTATAATTATGCTGGAAGTAAATTGCTCAGCCCCCTGAAGCAGGACTATTTAGGAAAAAAAAGATAAATCTATGATACAAAAGTAAAGCCTAAATTGTATCTCGCTAAACACTCAATGATGTATTTGAAAAAAAGTTTAATAATGCATGAAAATAGCAAAACTACATTGTTGCATGGATATGAATAAATGGTATGACAATGAAATGCTGTTCACTGGTTTGAATCTTTTATTTAATAAACAGCATATCATCTCTGAACGTCGAACAAATTATAAAGTTTTCATAAAAATTTGTTTCTTCCAATGCCTCTACTGGTATTATCTTCAGTTTACAGACAAGAACCCAAGTTCAGGAAAGGCAGATGAGAGAGGCAGCATTATGCAATGGCCGAGTGGTGGCTTTAGCAGATCAACCTGGGTTTGACTCCTCATCAGGCCCTTTGCAGCTATGTGAGCCTCTCTGTTTTTCCCTCTGTCAAATGTGTGTGGTACCACCCTCTTCTTTGGGATGGCTGACATTCAAAGAACACAAGGAATTCAAACTTGGGCCAGTGATGGCACATATCAAGCATTCCATAAACATTAGCTCTTCCAGCCCAAGTGACTGACACGGGGCAGGGTACATAACGTGGAACTTACCGTGTATGCATTTTTGCTGACGGAGCACATAGACAACTCCTTGTGGTGCCAACAGGCAGTTCAGTATTAACGTGTCCTGTGCTTTCTTTAGATAGTTAACTGCCTGCTTACTACCCAGACCACAATAGTTACACACACGCGCTCTCCCCCCACCACCCGATACACCAGAGTCTGGCCCAAGTACTTTCTCAATAAGTAGAAATAAAACAAAGCAAAAACAAATAAAGAAAGTCTTCTCTACAGAGCCTCCTATATTCTCTGACCCAGCAGCCCTTCAATGGTGGAATCATTTCTGGATATGCCGCAGGCTGCCTTGGGCATTGTCTTAGCTAGCGGTCTTCTGGCTGCTGTGGTCTTCCTTTTGTCTAGCAGGTGGCGGGGATTAGCCGAAGGACAGACCACTGTACTAACTAGATCTTACTTTTCTGGCTCCTCACAATTTGATTTCTATTAATGATTCATAGCTCTCTCTTGAATCGACCGGATTTTTTTCTCACTGAATATTTTGAGCCTATTTTGAACATTACAAACAGTTCTTAAGACAATTACGTAGTGGCCCATTCTTTACGCTGGCGTTTGTTTGTCTGTCCCCCCTAAGAAGCAAGATTAGTTGTCTGGGGTCTACTGGAGATGGCTATCGTAAACCCTAAAATTCCTACCTCCTAAATATCACCACAACCCACCAGCTAGCTAGGTGACACTGGAAGAGCATTTTAAGTTACTTGGGTCCTCATTTCCTCATCCCTGAGTGAAGATACAAGAGTCTGTGAAGCAAGGGTGCCATGGGCTCGAGGCTATGACTGGGTCCCCTGTGTCGTGGCAAACATTACTAAGGGGTACGAGGCTCTTTCCCACGGAGCCCAGATGTGGCTTCAGCACCCTCCTGCATGTGGGAGGAGAAAGACTGCCAGTGGACGGAGTTGGATTATTTTCCAGCCCTCGATAGGATTACGCCCAACTCTCCCAAATTCTTGACTCTTCTAATTCAGATTATTATTATTTTTGTACACTGTTCAACTTTGCAAGGCAGTTATTTCTACTTAACGATACTTGTGTGTATCTTTAGGTAACAACACCTAAAATACAACTAAAGCTCAACAATCAGACTGAAACATTTAAATAATTTACATTAAATATTTAGTTACTGAAGACATGATATTCATTAAGTGATCAAATCTAATCTAGGTACTTTGCTGTCATTAGGTGTGTTTATATATAGCCATAATGAGTCAGAATTGAGTAGGTTAAATAAATGTTGACAGAGGTTTTTCTAAATTAATGGATAATTTACCTAACCAGAGAAGATAATAGTTTTTAGTCTTGTTTGCTGTTTCCTATGAGTTAAGTCATGTCTCTGACTCAAGGGCATTCATAGCTCAGACCGTTCAGTATTAACCCCTGAACACCCAGAAAAGTCGATTTTGCTCTCCTAGAGTAACAAACCAATGTTGGATTGCCTTCTTTCTGTCCTCTTTTCACCACTAAAAAGTGAGGTTTCTGTTTCTGATAAAGTAAATGGGGATATTACACCCCAGGAGTCAAAGACTTTAAATATCTAAAGAATGGTAAATTCCCCAAGCAATATGAACAGTTTTCCTTCTTAACTATTTTTATTTAAATTTTTTCTAAATTGACTCATGAAAGTGTTGAACATTAGGAGAAACGCGTCAAAAGAGAAAAACTTTAAGAGAATGAAGACAAGCCAAAGACTGGGAGAACATATCTGCAAAGTCATATCTGATAAAGGACTGGTATCCAAAAGACACAAAGAACTCTTAAAATTCAACAATAAGAAAACAACTAAATTAAAAGCCGGGCAAGAGATCTGAACAGATGCTTCACCAAAGGTATCCAGATGTCAAGAAAAGCATGTGGAGAGATGTTCATCATCATATGCCATTAGAGAATTGCAGATTAAAACAAGATACCACTACACGCCTATGAGAATGGCTAAAATTCAAAACACAGACAACGCTAAATGTTTTCAAGGGTGTGGAGCAATGGCAATTCTTATTCCTTGCTGGTGGGAATGCAAAATGGCACAGCCACTTTGGAAGACAGTCTAGCAGTTTCTACAAAACTAAACAGACTCTTAATATATGATCCAGCTATCATACTCATGTATTTATGTATATACAGAAGCCTGCACATCGATTCTTATAGAAGCTTTATTTAAAACTGTCAAAACTTGGAAGCAACCAAGATGTCCTTCAGCGGGTGAGTGGATAAATTCTGTTACAAATCCTGTTACAATCCAGACATCGGAATATTATTCAGCACTAAAAAGAAACAAGCAATCAAGCCATGAAAAGACATGGAGGAACCGCGAATGCCTACTACTAAGTGAAAGACACCAATCTGAAATGGTTGTATGTATGATTCCAGCTATATGACATCTTGGAAAACGCAAAACTATGGAGACCATAAAAAGATCAGCAGTTGCCAGGGGTTAGGGAGGAGGGAGGCGTGAACGGGTGGAACACAGAGGATCGTCAGGGCAGTAAAACAACACTGGATGATACTATGTTGGTGGCTACATGTCATTACACATTTGTCCAAACCCAGAGGCTATACCACACAGAGTGAACCTTAATGGAAACTATGGACTTTAGTTATAATTGTGTATCAACGTTGGTTCATCAATTACAATAGATGTAGCACACTAATATAAAATGTTAAAACCAGGGAAAGGGGGAGCAGGGAGAAGAGAGTTTGAGGGGGTTATATGAAAAGTCTCTGTACTGTCTGCTTCATTTTTCTGTAAACATAAAACTGCTCAGAAAAGTTCTATTCATTGAAAGGAGAAGAACAGGGACAAAAATACTTAATGCCTTATTTTAAATGGTTAATAATTCATTAAACACTAAAAAAGGCTAACAAAGTTGAGCTCCAAATGATTTTATTTTTATCACGAGTAAATGAAAACTTAATTTTTTTACTTTTATTTTTAAATTTACATCCAAGTTAGTTAGC